GCGATAAAGTACACACTCGCCTAACAAAATTCATTTTAGAAATCATTGAAAACATTTAACATTTAATCAAATATGCACAAATAGTCACATAGTCACAACAATCCACATAGTCATTGAAAACATAACGTACAAAGAACACTCACCTATTTAAGCATAGTAACTTCCAAAGTATCCTTTCGAATAACACCCTCAATCACCAAGGAACCCTAAGAGTAACCAAGAGAACACGCCATGCTTCAACTATCAAAGATTTAGGTGATTCAAAGAAAATCCGAATACCTACTAGTACAATATATAAATATGAGTTTTGAAGTGAAAAGAGTACATTTAGATCAAAGGACATGAGTAACTAATAGTTTCCCAAACCAAATATAAAACTAAACTAAAAAGGTTTTAGAAAATTCCATCGGAAAACAAATGAAATAGTGCCATGTCAGAATCCGGCCAAAACTTGGCCGGATATCCGACCGGATTTGCGGCTAGATTCAAGGCAGTAGGTAATCGTAAATTTTTTCATCTTCCCCTGTCAATCTGGCCAGCAATCCGACCAAGAGTTGGCCGGATACACGGTCAAATATGAAAAATAGTTTTGTTCAATTTTTTCGTAAAGCTCTTTGTTTGGCTCGAAAATAATACATATGCAAAGAAACAACGTATAACAAGTGCTTTGAGTAAAATCATATGAAAAAGGAAGATAAACAAACCCTAAATTCACACCCAAAGCCTGGCTTGATAAAATTAGGTTTTGCGGTCAAGAAACCCTATGCAACTCCTCTTTGTTTTGGGAAGAAAATGAGTAAACATTTGAAGTTCAAAACTTGACATTTGTAACTAAGTATCATGTTTAAAATGGTCATCACGTTCACCATGCGGAAATGTATAAGTTCAAGTGAAATCTAGCTCATATAACACCATTAGTGTGGACCTAAGCATGTCTAAGCAAAGTAAATCTAATGCATCACCAAATCACATTTCAAGTTTCACTTTCACTTATTCTAACTACGAGGGAATAAACGGACAGCATTTCCCCTTGTTTTTCCTTTACTTTTCCATCCTAGAATCAACACCAACTCATCTCAAATCAACTACAATTTCACATATCAATCATAGGCGATAAAACACACCTTTTGGCATAACAATCACAACTGAAGCTACACTTATCGGATTGAAAAGAATCTTATGGCGTTTCGAAACCAAGACATATACCTACATTCCTTATGAAGACCTCCAAAGCCAAATCAGGCATTTTCATGGTCAAAAATTAAAATCTCAGATAGGACTAAAAACTGTCCGTGAAACAAGGCTTGTGGACAGTCAAGGGTATTTCGGTCATTTCACAAGCTACAGTACTGAGATTGATCTGAAATTTTACCAGCAGATAGCTAACTCATATACCTGTTAAGCAAGAGCTGATTCGGTCTCTCTCAAGGACGAACATACAGTGCAAAAACAAGGCAAATTACTACCAAATGGAAACCCTAAGCTGAAATTTATGCACACCAACCAGAAATTTCTTTAGGCAAAGTAAACTAGCACCTAAACACAAGATTTTCCATACATCAAAGCTAGTAAATCATGGCAAACCATTACACTTTGCATGTGAGCAGAAATTACACCATAAAACTGAAAATTTTCATATCACCACCTCAACCAAGAAATATTGTATTAAAACTACCAAAGTGGCAACCACAAGCCACTAATTACAACTACTAGGAACAAAGGAAGATGTTCTTATCAAATTACCTTGGAACCTCAAGGAAAAAATGGTAGCTTAGTCTTTCTTCCTCCAAAATAACTCCACCAAAACCTTTAAACTTCCTTAGTGAACACTTGTATGAAGTAGTTTCAAATTTGGTTGGCTAGAACACAAGATTTGAGCAAGTTTAGAAGCTAGAAATTGAAGTGGTCTCTCTTGTTTTTCTCCTCAAAGTGGCCGCCCAAGAAGGATGAAAAATGAAAAGAAATTGGTCAAAATTTGGTTTTAGTAAAGTTAATTGGTCAAATCCAACATCCAAAGGGTTTGCGACACTTGGCACCTTGCTTGTTTAAAGCTTATCTTCTCACTCCCAATGGTTCATGTATCTAGTTAACCTCTAATCATCTCCTAACACCTTGTAAAATAATAACATTTAGCACAAAAATCACTTAGTCATCAAAATTTTATTACACTAGCAGGTCCCACGTCTATAATACACTTCAAATTTAACGTACACTAACTTATACTAGGAAAATGATTTAAAACTGTACTTACTTATAAAAATACATAGAAACTTTAATATTTTAAGGCAAGTATAAAAATGTAGCCAAAAATAAAATAATGCCTAGAAAATATGAAAATTTTCAGGTTCTCACACTGACAGTAGCTTATTGTTGAATACGCTGGCATAACGAAAGGTTGAGAATTGGGGGCAAGACTATAATGCCTAGTTTGGGAGATGAGATTTGAGCAGAAAAGAAAAGAATAGAAGAGTAAGGCTGCATCTCCCACGTTTGAGAGTTTTAAGTAAAAAAAGAAAGGAAAAGAAACTGACGGAATTAGAAGGAAGAAGAAATAGCTATAGTTTAAAAAAAACTTCTAGCCCAAATCGGGTAGAAAGCAAAGGAAAGCGCGGAAAGGCAGCAAAAATTTTTTAAATTGCCCATTCTACCCCTAAAAAGCTATGGAATGAAATATTTATTTACCTATGTGTCCAAAATCACCTCCTTTCTTCCATAAACTCCCAAATAACATTAAAATCTCTTCTCTTCTTTTCTTATCCTTTCTTTTCTCTCATAACTTAACCTTTCTCTTCTTTTCTTTTCTATCCTCAACTCACAAACTAGCTATAAAAGATGTATGCTTTAGTGGCCGCCTTTAGATTTCATAAGAAAAAAATAAACTTGAGGGGCAAACTCCAATTTGAACAAGGTTATAACTGAAAATTCTTAATTCTTTGGTTGCATTTGGATCGAGTGATTTGACCAAAGATTCAAAATCATTTCAAATCTCTTTACTTGTTTAAAATACTTAGAAGGCATTTTAGTTTATAAATTATCAATTATTCTTGTATCTAAAGCATATTTTGATAATTGATGAATTACAAACCTAAATACATCTCAAGTATTTCAAACTATTAGAGTGATTTGGGTGAATTTTAAAATTTTTATCAAATTTCTCAATTCAAACAAAGGGAGTACAAAGGAATTTTCAAAATCCTAAGGGTGGCTGCCCCCTGTGGCCCCATTTATATCCACTGGTGGCCGTATATAAGTGGAGCAAGAGATCATTCTTCGTTGCATATGTTACTGCTCATTGATTGTCTTTGACCAAATCGGACACCAAAATCTTAATTTAGGCTGAAAATATACTTTTAACGTACCAAAATCTAAAATTTTGTTAAATTCTACACCCGCTATGACAGTTAGAGGGAGCGTGCCACCACTTTTGCCAACGTGCCTAGTGATCTGATCGTTTGGATGAAAAGATAACTTATATAAAATTTACTGTGACCAATAAATTTTTTATTAATTCCACAAAATATACCAACAAAAATTCTTAAATGTAAAAACAGAGAAATAAAAGAAAACGAGGAGCAGAAAAAGTAGACAAAGGTATGATTGACATTTCAGTTTCGTCAATTAATTTAAATAATTTCCATCCATGCTCCACATATGTCCACAGCATGCGGGGGTTCATTGACGGATTTTTGAATCATAGGGTAGATCCCTAACTTTTGCTAAAATCAAAAGGGCATTTTGTAATTGTGAATCTTGTCCAAGTATACATTGTTTAGCTCATTGGACGAGATAGCCAGTCCAAACTTCATATTCTTAAAAAACTAGTTCTTAACCAGTTAATGAATAGGGACCACACATATCTGTTAAAAGAATTAGAAAGGAAAATTATAAGTTTGATTGATAAAAAATATAATAATGCATAATTGATACGAATATATATAAGGCATAAATTATTAAATTGATTGACTACATATAAGGAATTGGGAAAAAGAAGGAAATTAATTGTTAAAAAAAAACACACAAAAAGAATTAAAAAGTCAAAAAAATATTTAAAAAGTTCACGTGACGAAAAGATATATCATTCACTTGGGTATGTCTAATTCATCAACGTACTCTTTATCAACGTGCTATGTCCGATTCAGAGCGTGGATATGTCTAATTCATTAACGTACTATGAAAAATATGATTAAAAACAATCCACAAAATAAAAGGGAATTAAGCGAACATTCCTTCTTTTTTTTTTTTGAGGGAAAAGGAATTCCTTGCCAACAATACCCAGAATCTTCAGATTTCCTTCCTCGACTCCACTTTCTATTTTTCTTACACTTTCGGCTCCTTTCTTCTTTTTCACTTTCGTGTCTCCATCTCTTCCCTCCCACGCTTTCCCGGTCTTTGATAAAACCCGGCGCCCCATCGCAAAACCCTTAGCCTCTTGCCCCCTTCCCTCCAACCCCATAATAAACGGCCGCAGCAGAATTTTCAGGCGGGCCAACGTCGGTAAAATCGGTATGTTTCGCAATTTACAGCTTGCAAGAAAATAAGTTGAAAAATATCCTTTTGGGATATAAAGTCTTTTGTTTGTGTTAGAATTTTCTTGTTTCTCGGCTATGAAAAGTTACTAGCATTGCTTTCATTCGATTATTTTTTTGAGCAAATTAACTATTTTGCACGATTATATGAAGTATAATTTAGGATGTTTAATACTACATTAATAAGGTCTGTGTTTTCGATTTGTATTCTTGTAAAGAAATTTAGTCTATTGCAAATTTGGAACTCTACTAGAAAGTTTGAGCCATTGTTAATTGTTGGGCCTGCCAAGAACAAGAAATAACGAAAGAATTCCTGTATCATCAGACTGATTTTGGAAGTTAGAAGCACACAATTGAATTCTAATTGTTATTGTTTGAATTGTTATTCTTTGTCTGGTTTACCTATTTTAGAAAACAATCACTGGCTGAGAAGTGTCTGTAACTTTGGATTTCTTTTTTTTTTTTTTAAATAAAAATAAAAAGGAGGGAAAATATGACTCTGTTTCTGCATTATCTATTTGTGAGGGGCTTGTGAGATGTTTCACCTAGAAAAGCTGAATTGAAATAGTTCTTTAGCTCGCTTTCAAGAAGGGTATCCTATGTCAGTGGAATTTTCCATTCAGTTATCAGGATAAGAATGTATGTATTGCGGATGTTTATGAGAATTGATCTGCAATTCCTAAATTTGTGTTGCTGATCAACATTCTTTATTTTAGTACTTTAGCTGGTAATTTTACAGTATAGTTCCTACAAAAGGTCGAATTAATTTTTTCACCAGAACAAGGCTATTTCTGGTACCAGCAAAGAATACCTGAATGATAACATTCATGTTAATTTTTGGTTAATCGGTATTGTTCACAATTAATTGTTTTCAGTGCACAACTTTATAATGATGCTAAAACAGGCAGTTAATCAGGTCTAGCTGTTGAACCACAACAAGCACGAAAATGAAAAGGCTGCTGAAATTGACATGGCTGTGGTTGCGTAATCTAGTAAAGGCAAGAGATATCTGTTTTATTTTTTTTTGTTACAAACTTATTTGAACTAAATATGGTGGCAGAAACAGGGCCATTCATGACAATAACTTTTTGGCCCAGACATTGCTAATGTTATGTACCATTCTCACATAATATACCACTGTACAGATACCTCAGCCAGTTCGAATATCATTACGGGATAAAGCAATAGCAGTCGCAGGAAGAGTTTCTGTAGTCAAAGTTCGAGACTCTATGCAGGTTTGTTGTCCTGTATGCACAGAAGCGATTTCCTCTCCACTTGACTCTGATGTGAAAATGATACTAGCAGTGCACCTGAGTTTATGGCACGCTGAGGATGTTAACTTGCAATGGGACATTATGCAGAAGAAGAAAGATTCAGTTCTTCATTTGCCTTCCTTAGTTGTTGGAGTAGGAATAGCTGCTGGTGTTGGAGTACTGTTGACTTTTCTGGCAAAAAATAGGGCTCAAGCTTTGGTAGGGAATACAGTGAGACAACCGAGATTCAAGGAAAGGTAGTGGTGCATGACCTATTGGCTTTGTACCAGTAGTGATATACTCTTTTACCTACTCGTCATATGGCAGGATGAATATCTCTTGCTTTATTTGGCTAAAATTGCCAAGTTTGTAGAGTTCACCATTTTTTGTCAAAAAGGAAACTTGGATTATCGTAAATTTTGAGGGGCCTGTGTATGAAAAGGTTTAGAAGTGAGGACTTAACATGTGTTTGTAAACTTTCTAGCGGTGAATTATGTATCTCTTTTTGGGTATACTAGCTCCTTAATTTTGACAGAGTGAAGTTATTCCTTTTTTCTAATCAAAATTGCTTTTATCCTCAACTAGAATTGATTGTTGCTTTTCTTGGATTTGATACAATGTTCGAATCATGATATTGAGCTCTAAAGTTTGATGTATGTCAAGATAGCAATGCAATTATCTCAGTAAGCAGTCAATTACTGGAGGAGTTGTCCTTTTTCTTTTTACTGGGCTTGTACTTTGGTATTATTCTCAAATTTGGTCTGTTTCTAATATATGAAAACTGTTTGCCATCCATCTTTTATGCTATCTGAATTTGTTAATATTGGCATAAATGTGATCACGTTGCTGCATCTACTGGGTTCACTGCCATTAAAATGGGTTCTTTTTTTTTTTTTTTTTTTAATTGAAATTTTATTATTTTATAAAAATTTCGGCAGAGTTTCCCCTTAAAAAAGGACGAAACTCCCTGCCATCAAACCATAATTTGATGAGTAAGATGCACATCATATTGTCAAGGTTCAAATAGTAGGAATAGTGGGGCAATGCATCCGTTTTATAGGCTTGCATGACACATCTTGTTCAGTCATGGCTTTGAATGTCCATGGACACTTTCTTAATTGTTTTAAACATGTCTGCCCAATTTTTCATTTTCTTTTGAAATCATTCATCATCACAATACTGATCGTTGCCTTCCACAGCATTGTTAAGGCCATTTGGCATAACGCTTCCGATTTGAGAAAAAATATCCTTTACACCCACAAATGAGGAGCTGCTAAAGTACACAGATGTACATTTGCCATTTGCCACCATACCTACCTTGTTTCAAGCTCCTGACATTGGCACCTAAGGTGCCCCCTCCGAATCAGGTCAAGACTTTTATTGCGGTTGGGAGTTCATCAGCAGTTGTTGGTTTGTGACCCAAATTGGGCAGAAATTCCATTGATTTTACAAAAGCCTAAGAGTCTGAACCTATGTGGCCAAGTTGTTTTAATTTAGTCGTGGGATGAAAGATGAACAACTTCTTGTAAGGGTTGGGAGTTTGTCCAGCATTATATTTACTTGGTGGATCATACTCTTTTTTGTTTACCGCACTTCTTGGATCATACTTATGAGATTGTCAATTGATAGACCAAGATATGAAGGGTAAGTTATATAAATTTTGTGTGTGTTGATCCCTATGACCATGTAACAATCTTTTGTGCAGGTGAAGATTTCTGATTCTTTTTACAAAAGTAATTTTTAAACTGTTTAATGACTCTAAAGCTGTAAAACTAATTGTCACATCATGGATTTTTGGAAACATCTAAATATCTAGTCGTAACCCTTTTTTTTTCTTTCTTTTGAAAAGAAAGTAACCAAAAAGCATTATTGTAATAGTTTTTGGGCTGTTTTTAGAAAAACTTTACTGAAATATTTATTTGGGGCGTTTCTAGAAAAACATTACTGGAATAGCTATTAAATAAATGTGTCAAAGGCGTTTTTAATTGCAGTTTTGGTTCAAAAATGTTTGAAACATGAGCGCTGCTAGTCACTGAAGTTTGGAATAAAGTAAATGTAGCCCAAATGTTTCAATCTCTTAGCAAATTTAGTACTATTAATTGATTTTTACCAATTGTTATCAGAATCTAGTCACATACTATTACGTATTGATAATTAATTTTTTTAAAAGAATTAAAAAGCTCGAAACAAATATTGTTGGCCATAATTTGTGGTAAAAGAGGGTTAATTACTCGCATGTCGATCATGTGAGTGATTACTCTTTATTCCAGAAATACAAAAATTCAGTTGACAAAAAAAGTTTTGGTTAAAGATTAATTAGTAATGGGACCCGAGAAATTAATTATCTTTTATTATAGATTATGGCTAGCAATTTTTTTATCGATTATTAATTTTTTTTAAAAAAAATAGTTTCTAGTGCATGACTAGATTCCTGCATTGATTGGTAAAATTAGTCATTAGAATTAAATGTACATAAAAACTGAAACATTTGGGATTACATTTTATCCAAATATTAGGGATTAAAAGCGCTTATACTTCCAAACATTTTGGAACTAAAACTGCAATTCTCTCATACAATTGTTAATATCAAACCACGCACACACACACACACATTTGCATATACATATACATAGGTATGCTATATATATGTATATACATATATGTATATACATATATACATGATATGTATATGTATTTACATACATATATGTGTAAGCTTCTTTCTCTCAATTTTGCTTAGTCCGATATACCACAGATCTTGTTATAGAAAATCTTTTTATTTTTGTATTTTCCTTGTTCTTCTAATTTTTGTCTTTCTATTGATTTTAATTCAGAGTATTTATGCCAAAGTAAATCTATTTTTGCTTGTCTTAAATTTTTTAGAAATGATGCGGGATGGTGGTGTATGAATTTTGAACTGCCTTTTCAATTTACATCCACTCCAGAAAACGCATACAGATTAGCATTAGAAACCCTCAGACAACCAGGTACCTATTATTGTTTTGACAAAATTTTAGAGGAAATTGAAACAACAGACCAGTGTTTAGCACATATACAAATAAAAGACGCTAGATTATCTAAAGTAGCACACCACCATCCCGCATCATTTCTAAAAAATTTAAGACAAGCAAAAATAGATTTACTTTGGCATAATTACTCTGAATTAAAATCAATAGAAAGACAAAAATTAGAAGAACAAGGAAAAAAGCCTAGAATATTCTTTAAACCATACTATCTACTTAGTTTCCTCCCTTTGCATATCCAAGAAATTATTAGCCAAAAAGCCCAAGCCCAATATTATTCAAAATTAATGGCAGTCCAACAATACTTTTATGAAATAGCAAAAGATCCAATTAGAAATACAGCAGCCATTAGACTACATCCATCTTTCTTCATCGACCCAGAAAAACATTGCCCAATTCTAAGTCTTCCAATATTTTAAAATCTTCTTTCATTTCTTCTAAATATATATTATCCATGATAGTTCTGTTTTCTGATTTTTCTAAAATTTCATCTATAAAACTTGTGTTTTCTTGTTCTATAAAATCTGTTAAATTTAAGTCTTCAGATACTATACTATAAATACTTTCTGTGTATTTTTATAAAAGTACATTCTTCTACTAGTCTATTGATTATAAATCTTACTGCCGTACTCACATTTTTTAATGTTGGTTCCATGGGCGTTGCTTTGTATAAGGTATATATTTTCTTTCCTAAGTCGTCTGGTAATTTTGCAAATAATTTTTCTATAATTCCTTCATCATAAAAACATCCTGCTAAACAACTATAATATAAAAAGTCTTGTAAAAAAGGTTTAATATATTTCCAGTTTCTAATTGATAATTGTTCTAGTTTTCTTACCGATTCTATCTGTGTCATTACTCCTCCTCTATTTGGACTTGTTGCTAATAGAATTTCTTCTACTCGATTAACAAAATTCATTGGATTGACCCCATGTGCCAACCCATTCTACCCAATACTAGGGATACTTTGTATTAGGGTGGATGACGTCATCAGGTTGAGGTGAGATTCAACATGCCCAAAGCATTTTCTTCCTCCTTCATCGTCTTCCTTTCGACTGAAACAACTGATTCTCACCAGAAAATACAAAACCTATTACTTCCCACTCATCTCATCTCGATCAAAACCAAGAATAAGTCCTATGTTCAATGGGAATACCAAGATCTTCCAGATTCTGAGTGAATTTATCCATAAGATGCAAGAATTGTGCTTCGAAGGTTTTCCCGAATCTCCTTGCGAATCTAAAATGAAGTATCGAGAACAATCAATACTCTCTCAGATACAACTTCCATTCTATCAGATCGTGAGTCACAGGAATGACTCATTAGAGGACAATTGTATCAATTCTAGATCCTTCGGACCTTAAGGTCCGAGAAGCTTCTTTTTTGACAAATTAAGGGAACTGTGTGCCGTTGCGCTTGCCGGGGAAGATGAAGAAATAGAATTAGGATTTTCAATTTGTGGGCCACTTATACTGAGGCTCAACATATTCATCATTTCTTGATCAGATGGATCGATCAATTGTTAACTGGGCCTTGCACTAAACCCAATAAATAATATCCGAATATATGGTTAAAATGTTCTCAATTTCTTGATCCAATGGGCCATTGAAAATATCACTGGGCCTGGCACTAGGCCCAATAAATAATATCCGAATATATGAATAAAATGTTTGACTCAATAGGTCAACTAGGGGACAACTGGGCCAATTAATTTCTCGTAGGCCTTGCACCAGGCCCAGGCCAATTAAATCGAAAATGTTATCAACTTATTGATCCACTGGGCCATTTAAAATGTCATTAGGTCTCGCACCAGGCCTAATAAAAAAATAACACTAGACCCAACCATAGTGATCATCAATGAAGAAAATATATAACTCTCAGAAGCGTATTCATCAATCTTCATTCCAATTGCTATTTAAATGCACTCCATCTCATCCAGTTGATTCAGCCCCATTTAGCAGAATGCGGCATTCTCCTTCGTCGAATAGCACCTATTCGCCTCCAGATATCAAGATCAGGCACCGCTTGTCCAAGAAGAAGAGGCGAGCAACGAGAATTAAGTTTGCGTGTGGCTGCTGCATCCTGCACAGTAATGGATGCAATAAGGGACACCATATTCTCAATATTGATGCAGCAAGGAAGTTACTCCTGGGAGTTCCAGAAGGATCCCCTTTACTTAACCACGCTCAAGGCTAGTCTTGGTCGGTGTCAATTCGGACAAACTACAACCTCCGCAAGAGGTTCTGTCTCGACAAGATGTGGGCACGGCTCCTGATCAGGACTCCCTGGTCCTTGAAGGACGTGGATCCCATTAGGATTAATAATAGGGTCAGGGCTCTCATAACGAGCCAATTATGTAATTACGGCGTCATAAGTCCGATTAATCTAGAATTAGAGTGTAGGTCCCTGACACGTGTTTGGATTAATTGCAGCGAAGCGGATTTCCAATTTGTATGCATCTTGTTTAAGGATGAAATTAATTGAAGTATTGTTATTTTCATACTGCGTATT